AGAGAGAGAGAGAGAGAGAGAGAGAGAGAGAGAGAGAGAGAGAGAGAGAGAGAGAGAAATGAAAAAATGGCTTTCAAGACCTGAGCAGGCCCCGTTGTCACTGTGACCTCTGTTGCTATCTACAACAAAGCCAGAAGGGGACTGTTGACCCGTCAGCTTGTAGCCTCCGAAGTCAGTGACTTCTAAGGTCAACTAAAAACATGGTCTCCAGGGCGGGAGTTTTGGGGCTTCTTCAGACTCCCCCTGGCTTTCAGTCTTGCCATCACAGAATCTTACCTTGACTGGGCTCCTAAACGGACTTGTCTTGATGTTTCATTGGCCATAACTGGGTCGGTCACCTGAGAACACCAAAGGCCGACAGATCAAGATCTCCACGGCTGCTTAGCTCTGTCCCTGGTCACTGGTGCCTCAGAGGCCACCAAACACCCGGGCAGGAGTGCTTGAGGGCCAGTTCTGCTCTTCTGTGGGCTGCTCACCCCCAGGCCCATCGTCATGTGCACAGTTCACGCATGGTCAGGGCTGCCAGTCAGGAAGGTAGAACCACAGAGCATCTCCGAGGTGACTTCGGAAGACTGGAAGAAGACTGTAGGTCTCATTTGGGACCCAGAAACTGATGGTAAAGTGAGTAAACTGGCCTGCAGACAGGAAGGAGGAGGACACGGGAGATGCTCTGGTGCGGAAGAGAACCTCCTTCCCTGCTCCAAAGGAAGGACACGCCCAGTTTCAAAAGAGATAGCGTGGGAAAAAGAGACAGGGGTGTCTTAACTACAGGCATCTGTGTGTATACCTAGACGCGTTCCTGACCTCAGTCTGTGAATTTAAAACATTTTTTAAAATGCATCCTATTTTTCTAAATTTCATTGTTTTTATTTTGTGTGCATGGGTGTTTTGCCTGCTAAGAGCAACCAGCGCACTAACCACTGTGGTTCATCTATTTTGGGGGGAGGAGGTGGGGATGCGGCTCATGCTGTGGCTTAGGCGGCCCTCGAACTCACAGACTTCTCAGCCCCCATCACATCAGTTTACGTTAAATTTTTTTTTTTTTTTTTTTTTTTTTTTT